CCAGCAAAAGCATTGCCACCAGCTTTATTGCTTTACTTGCCTTATTGCGCTGGAACTTGGGCTTGAGGATGATGCTGTGCCTCTTATAGACGACTGGTTTTTCAAACTCTTGTACCTCACAAATATTTCTCATTTACACTGAAGTTTATAGCCCAGTCTAAATCATTGTCCGGTAGGAGTTTTGACCTGGAAAAGGGGAATCTTAATTGTATTAAGGACAGATAATCTGCATAAGATACTGCTTCCTTGATTTGAAAAGAAGTACAATTTTCTCATGCCATGTTCAGTAGTTGGTATTTTCTTGTGTGGGCTGAATCAGAGGTTCTCAAAGTGTGGTCCAGGAACCCCAGGGGTTCCTCGCACTTGCAGGTCAAAATTATTTTCCTATTATGCAGATGTTGTCCTTTTCACACTCATTTTCTCACGCGTGTACCGTGGAGTTTTCCAGAGGCTACATAACCAGTGATACTGTAGCATTGAATGCAGATACAAGACTCTAGCTGTTATCTATTTGAAGGTAGACCTTAAAGAGATTGGTAACATATAAAAGTGGCTTTTCTCTCTAAATGGTTTTTACTTTGGAAAATAGCTATTTTTCATGAAAAATACATTATTTATGTTAACATTTAGTGCATTTATTATTTTTAAAATGAATACATAAAGAACTATTTTAAATTATCCTATATAATAAAGAGCTAATATGCAAATGGTCATCATGGTCATCATGCCCTTGTGCCCTCGAGCTGGGGCCAGGGGACCTGAGGCCGCACCCCCTGCCCCAGTGCCGGGGCCAGGGGAACCTGAGGCCGTGCCCCCCATCCAGGCGCCGGGGCTGGGGGACCTGAGGTTGGGCCTCCCTGCCCTGCGGGGCTTGACGGGGTGGAGCTGGCCGGGTGCGATTTCGAGGTGCACGTGGGTGGGCGGGGACTTGACTCTGGGTCCCGCGACTCGCCCCAGACTCTGACAGGAGGGAGATTTTCATATACATTTTACTAATTTTTCATCTCTGACACTTCTATTATAGAGAAAGGGCAAATAGCAATATTAAAATATTTCCTCTAATTAATTCCCTTTTAATGTGCACGAATTTCATGCACCGGGCCACTAGTTTTATTATAATTTCTGATATTCTAAATGTTGATACATGAAACCCACATAAGCAAAAGATCTTTGAGGTTTTAAATAATTTTTTTTTCTTTTTAAGGGTAAAAATTTTATTTTTAAGGAATTTCATGCTGCACATTTTCAGTGAGTCATAAGAAAGCAAAAATGTGCCTGGCTGGCGTTGCTCAGTGGTTGAGCATCGACCTATGAACCAGATCACAGTTCCGGATTCCCAGTCAGGGCACATGCCCAGGTTGCTGGCTCCATCCCCAGTAGGGGGTGTGCAGGAGGCAGCAGATCAATGATTCTCTCTCACTGATGTTTCTCTCTTCCTCTCCTTTCCTCTTTAAAAATCAATAAAAATATCTTTAAAAAAAAAAAAGAAAGCAAAAATGTTATCCTCCCCTCATCCTAGAAATAAATAGGAAGGGCATAAAATTTCTTTTTAAATCACATTGGAAGTTTAGCACCAGCACCCAAAATGAACAGAAAAGGGGGGGAAAAAGCATTTACTATATATTTCAGATTTCTTTGGTTGGGGTTCTCTCCATGCAGTATTAATATTTCTTCTTTCAAATCATATTACTGAAACAGTAAAAACCATGAAAAAAATATAAACCTAGTGGTTGCTGAAACTGGGGGGGCTGCTTTCTTGTCTTCTGTGCAGGCATTCCCGGTAAAATAGCTGGAAACATTGGCTGACATTCTCCCTTTTGTGTTCTTTTGTGAACAGTAATCATAAACATTCTAATGTCCACATCTTGGTTTTTAGTCTTCCTCTTTATTGCTTGTGTATTTCTTTCCTTTTTTTTTTTTTTTAATATATCTTACTGATTTTTTTACAGAGAGGAAGGGAGAAGGATAGAGAGTTAGAAACATCGATGAGAGAGAAACATTGATCAGCTGCCTCCTGCACACTCCCCACTGGGGATGTGCCTGCAACCAAGGTACATGCCCTTGACCAGAATCGAACCTGGGACCCCTGAGTCCGCAGGCTGACGCTCTATCCACTGAGCCAAACTGGTTAGGGCGCTTGTGTATTTCTTTGGTGTTGGTAAGGTCATGGTCTGCTTTTTGTTTTACTGTTTGAATGGTCATTATTTCTTTAGGTCACTTGCTGATGGTGAAGGTGTCTGGGGAGCCTGGTGTCACGAAGCACTGCTCTGCTAGGTGGCTGGAGCAGGGTTCTCAGATGGCACTTCACCTGCCTTGGTCTCTTTGCCATCTGGTGAAGGAGCGTTAGCAGGATCGGGGCAACGCCGATAGTTGTATGGGCACCAGTATCCGCGGAGAAAAGATGGCTGGTTTGTACCATTAGCCACTTGTTGATTCTCTTTATCTTCAGCCTCTTCAGTGGGACAGCTGGGGTAGGTCATGGGTGAGGAGGTCCCTTACGTTACCTTGGACAGTAAGTTGGATTTCGATGAACAGGTCCCTGAAGTTGCACTCCCTCTGGGATTCCATCTTTCCTCTCTCCACTAGCATCACATCCAAGGAGATATGGTGGTTTCCCCCTTTTCTTTTTCCATGTGACTGGTGCTTCTTAAGCAGATATCAAGGTGTTTAATAAATTTGTTTGTGTTTTTGTTTCTTTTTGATTTGCATTCTGTTGGGATGGGGAAAGACCCATGAGCGATGGTCAGAGGTCTGTCCCACGTGGTCAGGCAGGAACCACCACCGGTACTGAGGGCCGAGGGCTGTACTGGGGGCGGTGCAGCTGACTTGGGGCCCTAGAGAACTGCCAGTCAGTGGCAGGGGTGGTCAACCCCTTCACTGCTGCCACAAGAATTTTTTCTGAGTCAGGCTTTTTCAAGGTTTATCTTACATTATAGTCACCCTTTTATTTTATTTTTTAAAAAAATATATATATTTTATTGATTTTTTACAGAGAGGAAGGGAGAGGGATAGAGTTAGAAACATCGATGAAAGAGAAACATTGATCAGCTGCCTCCTGCACACTCCCTACTGGGGATGTGCCCGCAACCAAGGTACATGCCCTTGACCGGAATCGAACCTGGGACCCTTCAGTCTGCAGGCTGACGCTCGAACGATCCACTTAGGGCTATAGTCACCCTTTTAAATGTAAAGTTCTACGATTTTGGAAAGGCAGCAGCATAGTTTTGCAATCTTTATGAATCCCCATATAAAAACATACAGAAAAGTGTAAAAATCATAAATGTATAGCTCAATGAATTTTCATAGTGACTATCTATGTAATCAACATCTATAAAAATAGAACATTCATAATGCCCCCCAAACTCCCTTTGTTATATGATGTTGTAAAGGGATTCTGCCCAGTGTGGGGTGGGAAAGGATGTCTCACAGTTTACTTCTGTGTGTTTAGAGAATCTTAGATTGTCTTTCATGTTTTAATTGAAAGGAAAGTTAGAATATTTGAGCGACCTGACATAAAATATTGGTCAGGGAGTGTAGTGTGGTAGAAAGAGCTCATAAGGTCAGGAGACCAGTATTTAGTTCAAACACTGACTGGGTAGCTTGGGATATTTACTAGTACCAGTATTTGTGCAGTGAGTGAGCTGAACTAGAACACCAGCTGGGCAGTAGCCCCTTCTCAGGAGCCTCAGTTTTGACTCTAAGGTTCTAACTTCTGTTGGAGCGCAGGAGAGTTGACATAGACCTGAAGCAAGACTGATAGTGTACTCTTCATCTTGCCAGGTAAAAGCAAAGTGTTTCTGGGATTCTTTGCACGTTAATATGGAGAAAAAAACATTTGCTTACCAGGTTACAGGGGTTATTTTGTTTTGTTCCAGTAACAATGTGGCATCTGGAATACCGGCTGCAATTGGAGTCACTGCCTGTCTACATTTTATGATTATGATAATCACAGTCCTTCTCCAAATTCATCCGTCTTCTCTATAGACCAAACAGGCAAGTTGAATGGCACATGATAGCTATCACCATCTTTTCATTTTTCATGTCTTTGGTTATGGCACCCATCTCTGTGGTATTGTTTTTTAAAAATATCTCGAAGGATTTCTACATGACCATTCCTACCATAATGATCTTTGGATCTGAGGATCAATTTAGGTATTGTGCCAGTTGCCAAATATATCTATTCTTGTTATATATTAAGGAACTAGGGAAATAACCACAGGTGAGTGGGTGGTGGATTTATTTGGCCCACTATGTTTCAAACCTGATCCAAAACTCCTGGAATCTACTGTGTTATAGACTATCTATAAGCATCTGTTGTGTACATGACTATTTTTAGTAATTTTGATGA